CAAACACACCATGGACCCCCGGGGCCCCTTTCTGAAGCTCTCTGGCCTCCTGTTTCCGGTGGAGGTCTTGAGCAGCAGGTAAGGATCTGAGAGATGCGGAAACCAGATAGTTTCCCAGGAAACCAGTGGACCGGGTCAGAGGGAAAGCGGTGGAAAGCTCTGAGAAGATAACCAAGTGGTGTGAGGCGTCAGAGAGGGAGGAGACATGACTAGGAGAGGAGATGAGGAGTGAGGGAAGGGGCTGTGTGACTATGGAGAAGCACAGGAGAAATCAGGGCAGACTGTGCAAAGGCCTGAGGTCCCAGCAGAAGGCCAGTTGATCAGGATGCCCCGCAAGGGAATGCTTAAGGGAGGGGAGGGCCATGGCTGGCCATGGAGCCCACTCCAGGAGCCCGAAAGCCAGGGTGAGAATTTGGCATTTTTTACTCTGAAAGGACCTGGGAGAGTCCACGTCCGGGCTTGGGTGCAGAGCCCGGCTGGCGCTGGAGGAGGAGGAACTTCAGTTTCTTTCTGCTATGGTCTGGCCTTCAAGAAGAAACACTCGGGGGAAGGGAGGGGCGGTGAGGCCCAGGCAAGCGCACTGCCTGGCACAGGCAGAGAAGTGGGCATCAAAGACAGTACGACAGTAGGTGTCCAGAGCTGAGTCCTGAGAGTCTGAGTCCTGCTCCGGCAAGAAAAACTATTGGTTTTGCAAGTTCTCCACTGGGAGCAGAAAGACGGCCCGAAGGACTGGAGCACACGCTCTGCACAGGCCAGCCTGAAACAGTCCCCCAGTACGAGGGAGCAGCCTCCAGGAACCAAGCCCAGAATTACCCCTGGGCACACGGGGTGTGGCCCCCCAACAAACAAACAAAATACTGAGTAATTAAGGAAGAAGGGAAGTGACTGAATGGTCCAGCCAGCAACAAACACAACAAAACCTCAGTAATTAAGTTAAACAGTATATTTATCATATCTAAATATAGACATGAATGTATACCTAAAAATTAATATCAAAAAAAATCCAAGATGAGGGCCAGAGTGTTAGTACAGTGGGTAGGGTCCTTGGGTTTGATTCCCTGAGTACCAGCAGGAGTACACAGAGCCAGGAGTAAGCTCTGAGCACCTCTGGGTGTGGCCCCCAAACAAAAAAAAAAATCCAGGATGAACAATATGCCACACATTATTTTATTTTATTATTATTATCACTTTCTTTTTTGGCTCTTTAGGTCACACCCAGCAATGCTCAGGGTTTACTCCTGGCTCTGCACTGAGGAATTAGTCCTGGCAGTGCTTGGGGAACCATATGGGATGCCAGGGATAGAACCCAGGTTGGCCGAATGCAAAGCAAGTACCCTACCTGCTGTACTATCATTCCGGATCCATTATTTTATTTTTTGTTTTTCTTTGGTTTTGGGGTCACACCCGGGGATGCTCAGGGGTTACTCCTGGCTCTGAACTGAGGAATCACTCCTGCTGGTGCTTGCAGGGCCATATGGGATGCCGGGGATCAAGCCTGGTTTGACCACATGCAAGATAAGCACCCTCGCTCCTGTACTATTGCTCCAGCCCTAGGGCACATTTTAAAAGGATGGCAGAGGGTACAGGGATAAGACACTTGCCTTGAAGTCGCCTACCTGGGTTAGAACCCCTAGCATGGCACATGGTCCCCAGAGCACCGCCAGGAGTGACCCCTGAGCACAGAGCCAGGAATAAGCCCTGAGCACCACTGGGACTGTCCCAAAAACAAATAAATTAAATTAAATTATGACATCTATTTTGACATCTTATTATGACATCTTATTATCTCATTCCTACTTTGGACAAACTGGCAGGCTACTGAACGTAACCTGCCCACACGGCAGAGTCTGGCAAACACCCCGTGGCGTACCCAATATGCCAAATACCAGTAACAATGATGGGTCTCATTCTCCTAAAGAGCCTTGAGTATAGCACTTTCTTAAAAATCTCAGGGCTAGGATGAAGGAGACGTTACTGGGGCCTGCTCGAGGCAATCGACAAATAACAGGATGGTCGTGAAATAATGACAAGGTCTAAACCTGAACTTGTTTGAGCCTCTCTTATTGACTTTATCCTAATCCCAGTCTTGGTTACAATAAAACTACAGAAATAGGCATCTGGCTGGCAGGACTATAATTTGCTGCTTTAACTTTTGTTTGCTTTTATTTTTAAATATTGGATTAAATAAATTATTTCTCTTGGCACCTGCCTACACTGTGCACCCTGATTACCTCACCTGAGTCCCGGCTCTGTGTAACAATGAGAGGATTGGTTTTATCTCCAGGCCCTGTGTGTTGGTCCCTCGTCAAACTGGGAGGGATAAAGGCACTTCCCCTCGGAAACGGGGGTGGGATCTGGGACCTGAACCCAGGCCCAGGCTCCCAGTTGGCCAGCACACCCACCTCCCCAAACGTGGCTTCGATGTGCCTCTTTGCTCAAGTTTTTTCGTCAGCTACAAGAGATTGATTAGTCAGAGAGAAAGTTCCGAGTGTTGCCCGCAGACTTTGCATGAGAGAAGGGAGGTCTGTTCCCCAGCATCTCCAGGAGAGAGGGAGGCACCTGAGCACAGAGCCCAGACAACCGCAAAGACCACGGGACATGGCAACAAGAAACCTTAAAAAAAATAAAATAAAGGGGCTGGAGCAATAGCACAGCGGGTAGGGCGTTTGCCTTGCACGCAGCCAACGTGGCCGACCCAGGTTCGATTCCCAGCATCCCATATGGTCCCCCGAGCACCTCCAGGAGCGATTCCTGAGTGCATGAGCCAGGAGTAACCCCTGAGCCTCGCCGGGTGTGACCCAAAAAGCAAAAATAAAATAAAAATAAATAAAATAAGATAACGTACCATAGTCATATAGAAAGGAGGGGTGTGTACTTTATTTATTTATTTATTTTTGCTTTTTGGGTCACACCTGGCGATGCTCAGGGGTTCCTCCTGGCTCTGCACTCAGGAATTACTCCTGGAGGTGCTCAGGGAGACCCTATGGGATGCTGGGAATCAAATCCGGGTCGGCCACGTACAAGGCAAACGTCCTACCCGCTATGCTATCGCTGCAGCCCAAAAGATTTATTTTTTTTTTCCTTTTTTGGGTCACACCCGGCAATGCACAGGGGATACTCCTGGGTCATGCACTCAGGAATTACTCCTGGCGGTGCTCAGGGGCCCCTATGAGATGCTGGGGATCGAACCCGGGTCGGCCGCTAGCAAGGCAAACGCCCTCCCCACCGTGCTATCACTCCAGCCCGGGGTGTGTACTTTTAATGCCGCGAGCGCATTAAAAGAGCTGTTCATCCAACACGTGAGATTTAACTTAAAGCTGTTTTCTATCCCCAAACCAACCAGGCAGATAAGCTGGTGCTGGGCCACGTTCAAAAGACTTTGGAGATCAAGCAGGTGACTCGGGGCAGCTCAGAGAATCCAGCCTGATCCAGAGTGCAGGGGTCCCGAGAGAGAGTAGGAACCCCCCCACACCCCCTCCCCGCCCCACCCGCATACACCTAGTAGCCGTGACTGAGAGGAAGCCCTAGAGCTAGGCGTGGAAGAAGATTGGGGTAAGGGTGCCCCGGGAGACCATGCCCTTCCCCCAGCCCCCCACCCACCCCCCTCCAAGCCTGGCGGGCGGGTGCGGCTCAGCCCGCGGGCGCAGGTAAGCCCGTAAGAATGCTTCGGTGGCCCATCCTGGGCGCGGGCGCGTCGCGGTGACTCAGCCGCTGCCAGGAACCCGAGTCCGCCCCGCTCCCCGGAGCCCGGGGACGGCCGGCAGCGGGATCCGGGCTGGCTCCCGGGGTGCCCGGCCAGGCCTCGAAGCCCGCAGCCCGGCCGGCCCCGGGGGCCCCAGGCGCCGGCATCTCCCGGGGCCCAGCGCGGAGACGCGGCCGCGGGGGGGCCACCCGACGGCGCGGGCCGCGGCGACCTGCAAGCGTGGTGAGTGGGCAGGGAGCAAGGGGCAGCAAAGCGGCCCCCTGCCTCAGTCCCCCGCTCCCAGACCCGGCGGACCGGGAGAACTGGCCTTTTTGCTCCCTGATCCTCGTGGGGGCTGGGGGGCAGGGAGGGCCCCGACGCGGTTTCTTGTGCCGCGGGCCCACCTGAGGGTCGGCTGCTGGCCAGGCCCCCAGCCAGGCCCGCCCTTCCCGGGGCGCCGGGGCACTCCGGGATCTGTCCCCCGGGGTCACGGCACGCCGAGGATCCTTGCTCCGCGCCCAGGACCCCCCAGGGGTGTGGGCGTCCAGTTCCAGATATGCCATCGGCTACTCCAGCCTGGATGCAGGGGCGCTCTGCCGCAGCCCAGCGTTGGAGACCTGGGATCAATCCAGTCCCGGGTCGGGGGCGAGGGGGGGGAGGGGAGGACTGAACTTGGAGAAACTCTTCGCCCCGGACTTGCCGCTTCTCGGACTCGAATCCCCACGCGCGGCTAGGATGGGGCGCGGGGCGGGGCGGGGGATGTCCAAGTTGCCCGCGGCCACCTGAGACAGGAGACTTGGCTGACCGGCCCCCAAGTTCCGCGCCCGCGCCCGCACCCCCGCTCCCAGGCGCTGGGCTTGGCGCGTGGGCGCAGACCGCGAGTGGGCAGAGGGCCTGCCTGGAAGCCCGATCGCGCCTATTCGGGGGGTCGGCGGCCTGTGGGGGAGGTGTGGGGGGGGCTCAGGGTGGTCCCGCCGGCGGCCGCCGTGCTCACGGGTCTCTGTCCCCCGTGGCCGGACCGTGCGCCAACTCGACCAGAGTTTGGGGCGGGCGCAGCCCCCTCCCGCGCGCCGGGGGCGCCGGGGCCTCCTGGGGCGGGCGGAGGTTTGGGGAGCACGGAGGAAACGCGCCGCTCCGGCTTCCTGTGGGGGGGCTCGGGCCGGGCGCCCCGCGGACAGACGTGTCCGGCCCGGGCCGCGCCGCGCCGAGCCCCGCGCGCTCGGGGTGGCGGGGGGAGGGCCGGGGCGGCGGGGTGGGGGCGACGGGCCGGGCGGGGAGGGGGCGGGGAGAGGGGAGGGGCAGAGGCGGCAGGGGAGGAGCGAGGGGGGCTGCAGGGAGAGGAGGAAGAAGGAAGGGGGCGAGAGGCGCGAGCTGGCGGCGCGATGCGAGCCGGGGCCCCGCGCGAGCCCCGAGGAGCCCCGCCGGCCCGCGTGGGGCGCCCGCAGTAGCGCGCATGGCCCTGCCCGCGCGCTGAGCCCCGCGCCCCGCCAGCCCCGCGCAGCCTGCGCCAGTAAGTCCGCGGGTGGCCGCGGGGCCAGGGCCACCCTGCCCGTCCCCATGCCCCCCCGCGCGCCCGCTCAGCCCTGTCGTCCGCAGGTCCGGGGCCGATGTCCCAGGTGAGCGGCCAGCGCTCCGCCGACTGCGACGCGCCCCATGGAACCCCCAGCGCTGCCCCGGGCCCAGGTAGGACCCGGGCTGGACAGCGGGGCTGGACGGGCGGCGGCGGGGAACTGAGGGGGCGGCGGAGGGGCTGCGTTCTTCGGCCCCGCCACCTCCTCCGGGAAGCCCGCGAGGCCTTGGGTGCGGGCTCCGGGCCGGGGGAGCGCGGGGTGGGGGCGCGGAGTGTGGGGATCGGGGGCCGCGGGGAGGGGAGTGGACGGCGGGGTGGGGGTGGTGGTGGTGGTGGGGGCAGGGCCAGCGCGGCGCCGGCGGCCGCGCCAACTTGGCTGGGCCCCCGTCCCGGCACCGCACACACCCCTCACTGTCTGTCCGTCCGTCTGGGGCTTGCGTCTCGACCGTTTCTGCCCAGTGTGTAAATATTTATGGGGGCCGCGGCGGGGCTGAGGGTGTCGGCGGCTCTCCTTCCCTTCCCCCCACCCAGCGGAGCCGAGCTCTTCCCGAAAACTTGGGTCGGCCACAGGCGGCGGGACCGGCCCCGCCCCTCCCTGCCATCCCCAGCTCCTCGCCTGCTCCCGGGCCTGGCCAGCCCCTCGGCTCCAGCCCTGCAAGGCCCCCCGCTCCCTGCCTCTCCCTCTATCTCGCTCTCTGGCTCTGGCTCTCTCTCCCCTGTGCAAGAGAATGCACTGCACACTCACGGGAGCGCGCACTCACACATACACAAAGACCCCAACCAAGTACCCGCAAGCCTTGAGCTGCCCGGCTCCCTAGCTCAAGGGGGTTTGTCATCTTGGGGGACGGGTTCCCTGAGCAGCCCCCACACTCCCTCCCTCTGCCCCCCACTACTTCTCTGGGTCCAGACACTTCCCAGCGGCTGGGTTGGTTCCAGGGACTGGCTGCTGCCCGAGCGAGTGCAGGCCCCGACTTCAGGACTCAAGCCCATGAGTCTTCCTTCGTGACTCTCCCAAGTCCGCGCTCTGCCCGCAGGGTCTGGGCCTGGACCTCTGGCGCTGCCCAGCATGGCCTTTTGGGCAGGCTCCTGCCTCTCTGTCCATCTGGGCCCTCTCCAGCCGCCCAGCTCGGCCGGGGATGCAGAGGTGGAGAAGGGGGTGGCCAGCCCAGAGTGGGGGGCAGGGGAGAGGTCTGGCCAGGGCCCATAGGTGGACAGATGAGTCGGCTGTGCATTGCGCCCCCCTCAAGTTCTGTCCCAGAGGGAGGCGGCTGCAGGAGTTTCTGGGGAGTGGGCCCCCAGACTGAATTCCTGTAGCCCAGAGAGTGGGGGATCGCGGGCGCCCCCTCCCCCAGCCTCCTGTTTCCTCTGTTTCTCCGGTTCCAGGCTGTCTCCTCCTTGACCTCCTTCCAGGGTGGTCAGGGCGGTGGGGGACTGTGCTTCTTGTGCTGGGGCGGCCCCTGGGAGGATCAGTCCTTGGTTGTCCCTTGAACTCCCACCCCCCGGCCCCCACCGCCACCACAGCCGCTGCCGCCGCCGCACCCCAGCGACCCCCTCCCCAGTCTGGGCTGGGCCAGACAATGTGGCTTTCATAATCCATGGAGGCCTGGGAGCTGAGCGTGCTGCCCAGGGAGCCTGACCGCAGGAGAGCAGCCAAAACCCCACAGACGCCTGCCGGGACCAGCACCCCCACGAGCCCGGGACAGGAAGGAGCCCCTCCCGCAGTAACCCAAGGGGCCCTGGGGTGAAGGGCGGGTGCCTAGGGCTGCCCTGGGGGGGGCAGTGGGCCTGTACTCCCCCCCCTGGGCTCCCCCTCCTCTCTCCCTCCTCCCCCCTCCCCCCAGAGCCCAGCTCCCTATAACTCTGCCCAGCGCTGGGGCGTCACATTCCTGCTCTCAGCTCTAAATTGAATTCCAATTGGGGAATTGGAGCCCTCGGACCTAAAATAAAACCAACAGAACCAACCTCACCGGACACTGGCTCAAGCTCCCCTCCCCGGCCCCTGCCTGGCCGCCTGGGAACAGACCAGAGGGTCACGTGTGTGCAGGAAGCAGGCTGTTCGCTTCCTCCTCCGAGGGCCCCTGGCGTGCAGGGATGCATGGATATGGCCCCAGACACCCCACCGGTGAACCAGGACTGGATCCCCAAGTTGGAATCAACCAGGGAGGAAGGGCAGTGCTAAGCTTTTGATAAAAGGGACACTCGGAGCCATAGGACAGCCATAGGCTGTTAGCCTTGAGGTGGCTGGCCCGGGTTTGATCCCCAACACCCTAGAGGGTCCCCCGAGTCCTACCAGGAGTGATTCCAGGGTACAGAGCCAGGGGTAACCCCTGAGCACCACCAAGTGTGGCCCCCAGACAAAACAAACAAGGGTCACTCGGAGGAGGGGCTGCTGTGCCAGGGATCAAGGAAGGCTTCCTGGAGGCGGCAGGATATTGGAAGCAACAGGAGGCGCAGAAGTGAGAGGTGTTGGTTGGCCAGAGAGGCCTGGGTCACACAGACTCAGATGACACCCCCTTGGCCCATGAATGGGATGGAAGTTCTGGGCTGGGGTCTGGGAGGCTGGAGGGGGCCCCAGGATTACCCTGTGTGAGCAGTCAGGCCTGGTCCCCTCTTACAGATCTCAGGGGAGGGCTGGACGCATCGCCCATGCGCAGACCCGAGGTCATGGTCAATGCCCATGGCCAGAGGCCCTGCACTTGGGCTGACCTGTCCCCCCGAGAGAAGAGGTGTCCACTTGTCCACAATCCCAGAGTGCCCTCCCCTTGGTAGGCAGCGGGATCCACAGAGTTTCCCAGCATCCCTCGGGCTGCGGGATTCGACCTGACTTCCCGACACTTCCTGGGGACCGTGCTGGGGGTCAGAGTGGTCCGGCAAAGGGGTTTTGCCTTCTGCACTTTCACCTGTGCGTGGGGACCCAGGTGGGGGCTCGTCTGTGTCCTCCCCGGCATGTGAGGAAAGGGCGCAGGAGTGCAACTGGGGGAGTAGACGACCCCCCCACCCGCCCCCTGCAGCCCTTGCTCTGCCCTGCCCTGCCTGCACAGTCACTCTTTTTTTTTTTATTACGTAAGCTACAAGTTACAAATATATTTGACTGAGTTTCATGTATACAATGTTTCAACCCCAGCCCCTGAGCTGTGTTCACTGTTCACGCCCCTCCCCCAATACCCCCGGGCTGGGCTCTCATCACAGGACTCTCATCTGTGCCCATAATTCCTTTTTTTTTTTTGCTTTTTGGGTCACACCTGGCGATGCACAGGGGTTCCTCCTGGCTCTGCACTCAGGAATTACCCCTGGCGGTGCTCAAGGGACCATATGGGATGCTGGGAATTGAACCCCGGTCCGGCTGCGTGCAAGGCAAACGCCCTACCCGCTATCACTCCAGCCCTGTGCCCATAATTCCTGCTCCCAGGCTTGACCTGCCCCAGCCGGTGCCCTAGACCCTCTCTCACCTTCTTCCCTCTCCCACCCAGGGGGTGGTCTGGGGACTAAGGTGACACCCCTGCTTCCCCTGCCCACCCCATGAGCTAAGGAGACCTGGGAGGTGGCTGCAAGGTCGGCCTGCCCCAGCCTTTGAGGGGAGCAGCCCCAGGTGCCTCACTGTGGGTGCGGGGTGCGGGTTTCTGCTCTCCCAGAACTGGCTCACCCCTTCTTCAGGGGAATTTGGGGGTGTTTCTGCAGAACCTCCTAAGCACACATGCTCACATACACACCTGCAGATGTGCACTCCTGCACATGCACATTTAGACATGCACATAGATGCTCTCACACACATACACACACCTGTGCACACATACAGGCATGCACTCATGCATGTATCATACACACACATGCATGTTCATATATGTACTTGCATGCACACCCACACTTACATACATGCTCACACAGACACAGACACACTCACCCTACACATCTGTACACATACTCATACACACATGTGCCTCTATGCCATTTCTGTGCCTCCATCCATAGATGCCCCTTTTGTGACTTGCCTTTCTGTGTCGTGTGTGTGTGTGTGTGTGTGTGTGTGTGTGTGTGTGTGTGTGTGAGACTGTCCCCACCCCATCCCAGACACTCACTGGACTTGTCACTTTGGCTTATTATTAAGAGCTTAACAAAAGGAAGGAGGGAGGGAGGGAGGAATGAAGGAGGGAAGGAAGGGAGGGAGGAGAGGGAGGAAGGAAGGGAGGGAGGAAGGGAAGGAGGGAAGGAAGGAAGAGAGAGGGAGGAAGGAAAGGAGGAAAAGAGGGAGGAAAGGAGGGAGGGGGAGAGAGAAAGAAGGAGGAAGAAAAAGGAGGGAAGGAAGGAAGAAAGGGAGGAAAGGAAGGAAGGAGGGAAGGAAGAGAGGAAGAAAGGGGGAGAGGGGAAGAGAGAAAGGAGGAAGGAAAAGGAAGGAAAGGAGGAAGAGAGGGAGGGAGGGAGGGAGGGAGGGAGGGAGGAGGGAAGGAGGACGGAGGGAGGGAGGAGGTGGGCAGGCAGCGTGGAGAGTGGCCTGAAGGGCAGTGCTGAGCGCTCCATTTGCTCTGCTGCAGAAAAATCAGGCCCCCTCCCCCCTCCCCCCTCCCCCTCCCGGGCCCACTCATGCCTGTGACCGAGCCGGGATCGGCAGCTGGCTCAGGCCTTTTTCATGACCCCACACCCGAGAGCTGGTGAGGCGGTGGCCAGAGTGGGACTGGCCAGCCCTTACCCTCTGGGGAGTTAGGATGTGGGCCAGGCCAAGCCTCCTTCCTTCCTGGTCGCGGCCCCCAGGGGCTGAGAGGTGGGGCTGGCAGCCGCAGCTTCCCTCCTCCCAGCCCTGCCCGGTGATTGACAGACGACTCGCACCGCCTGGGGAGCCCCTCCCCCACCCGCGCCACTGGGCTGGGGTCGCCCAGAGCTACCCCTGGGCTTCCAGGGCTCCATCGCCCTGTCCTGAGGATGAGGGGTCCCTGCGGGGGTGGGTGGGGGGTTCTCAGGCCCAACCAAGCTCTGGAATATTCCCTCCAGGACACGCCTGTTCTTGCCACCACAGGCGCGCTCCAGCCCGGCCCCTCTGGTCATCCTGCCGGTCAGGGCCCTTCCTCTCGCCCTGGGCGCCAGACGAGCAGAGTGAGGGTCTCCCTCCACCTCCGCTCTCCCTTGGGCGACTGCAGCGGACTCCTATCCACTCCCACTTTTTGTTTTGTGCCACGCTCAGTGATGCTCAGGGGTTACTCCTGGCTCCGTGCTCAGGAATCACTCCCGGCGGTGCTCGGGGGTCTGTATGGGATGCCAGGGATCGAACCCGGGTTTCCCTTTTCCCTTTGCTTGCCCCTGTTGGGCGTCACAGCCCCCCCTCATTTCTGTGTCTCTCCTGCCCCCCAGGTGGCTCTGGGGTGGCAGGAGGTGGGGGTCCCCCACTTCAAAGCCCCCGTCTTCTCTGGCTCTACAACCTGCACCCCACAGTTTCCTGCCGGGCCCTGCGGTTCCGAACCTGAGGGTCCAAGAGTGGGACCCGTCTGCTTCCCGCCCCCCACCTGCTCCAGGGGTCTCGGGGTCCTGGGGCTTTGTTTGTTTGCTTGCTTGGAGGAGGGCACCCAGCAATGCTCAGGAGCTGCTCCCGACTCTGTGCTCAGAAGTGACCCCTGAAAGTGCTCAGCGAGGGGCTGGAGCAATAGCACAGCGAGTTGGGCGTTTGCCTTGCACGCGGCCGACCCGGGTTCGATTCCCAGCATCCCATATGGTCCCCTGAGCACCGCCAGGAGTGACTCCTGAGTGCAGAGCCAGGAGTAACCCCTGAGCATCGCTGCGTGTGACTCAAAAAAAAAAAAAGTGCTCAGGGAAACGTGTGCGGGTCCAGGATGTCAACTAAGATCAGCAGGGCCAGTGCTGTCTGTCCCATGCTCCCCCAGAGCTGCGGGTCCGAGGGTGGGATTCTGCAGAGGGGCCTCGAGCCCGGGATGACGCCTGCTCCCTGCCCACGGAGTCGCCCACCCCAGCCCAGCCTCACCTGCTCACATGTCTCTGGCCTTCTCTGGCTTCGCTCTCTCGGACCCACTCTCCCCCGCCTCGGACCCCCACTCCACCCGTCTCCTGCCACCCTCCATCCTGACTGCCGGGCCCCGGGCCCTCTCGGGTCTCTGCCTCCCCTCCTGCCACCCCCCACCCCCCACTCACACACTTTGCATTGTGGGGGAGGGGGTCAGACTGGGTCACTGGTGCCATGAGACCCAGAGGGGGGTGGGGGAGAGAACCCCCGGGGGTGGACAGGTGAACCTCAAAGTGAGCCTCGGTCTCTGTTTTCTCCAGCCCCGACCCCTTCCCTCCCGCCTGAACTGGAGGTAGTGACAGAACCCGCTTGCCCCGTGGAGGTGGTGCTGGAGGAGGGCTCCCTGGAGGAGGCAGCACCCCCCATGCCTCAAGACAAGGACTCCTCCGGGGCCCTCCAGAGCCCGGACAGCACTGACCTCAATATCCCCATAGAAGCTGTGACACGTGAGTCCCAGGGGCGGGGGGGGGGGGGGGGGGGGGATTGGGGTGAGGGGGGAAGGGAGGGGGGATGGGGGGATTGGGGTGGGGGGAGGGAGGGGGGATAGGTGGGTCCACATGAGGAAATCTAATCCCTGAAGGCGTGGCAGGGAAAAGCAGTGGGTGCACTTGGGTGCCCCTGGGTGGCAGGACCCTGAGGGTGGTCCTGTGGGCAGTGGCCAGGTGCCTGGCGCAGGGCAGTCCTTGTTCCTGGAAGGATGGAGACAGTGAGTAGAGAGCCCAGCACACAGCCTTGTCCTGCAGGGCCTCGGGGGCCAGGAGCTCTGGCAGAAAGTTAAGAGGGGGCGCGCCGGAGTGACAGGACAGCAGGGAGGGCATCTGCCTTCCATGCGGCCGACCCCGGTTCAATCCTCAGCACCCCGTATGGTTCCCTGAGCACCATCAGGAGTGATTCTTGAGTGATTCTTGAGGAAGGAAGGAAGGAAGGAAGGAAGGAAGGAAGGAAGGAAGGGAGGGAGGGAGGGAGGGAGGGAGGGAGGAAGGAAGGAAGGAAGGAAGGAAGGAAGGAAGGAAGGAAGGAAATTAGAAAAGAAGGAAGGAAGTTAGGAAGGAAGGAAGATGAAGGATGGAAGGACAGACTGACAAAAGGCAGGCACAAAGGTTCCCTGAGCACCATCAGGAGTGATTCGGAAGGAAGGAAGGAAGGAAGGAAGGAAGGAAGTTAGGAAGGAAGTTAGGAAGGAAGTTAGGAAGGAAGGATGGAAGGACAGACTGACAGAAGGCAGGCACAAAGGTTCCCTGAGTGAGAAGGAAGGAAGGAAGGAAGGAAGGAAGGAAGGAAGGAAGGAAGGAAGGAAGGAAGGAGAAGGATGGAAGGACAGACTGACGGAAGGCAGGCACAAAGGGCCGGTCCATCCCCGGCTGGGCAAGTCTCTGGGGGACCCTGAAGATCAGAGAGGGGGCTTCCCTGCCAGAGGCCAGCTGTGAGCACTGAAACGCAGAAGGTGGGCGAGACAGGGATGGTCCGGGGGCAGCTGCTCTGGGAGAGGCTCCATCCCGGCATCTCCAGCCCCCCAGGAGTGATCTCTGAGTGCCGAGCCAGGAGGAAGCCCTGAGCGCTACCGTGTATGGCCCCAGGCCAAACCAAAACGAATCCCCGACGGGGCCAGAGCACTGTGCAGCGGTTCGGGCATAGGCCTGTGTGCTGCGACCCAGGTTGGACCCCTGATGCCCTGCATGGTCCCCCGAGTACCTCAAGGAAGAGTGCCTGAGCGCAGAGCCCGGAGTGCGTCCTGAGCACCGCCGGGCTGCCCCCAAGAGCAAATCAATAAGACTGGCGACACCTCTGCACAGTGCCCGTCCCCTTCCTGCAGCCGGCTCAGCCTGAGTGACAGCAGGACAGGGAAACTGAGTCACTTGGCTTCCCACTGGGCGTTCCGCACCCTGCATCTCCCTGGCCCAGCTGGCATGGCTGAGCCGGGACCACCTTCACAGGGCATCTGGCTAACTGACCTCCGGACAGCCGGGCTTGCGGCTCCGTGCGCGCCCAGCCGCTGGCCTCCGGGAGGACGGCAGGGAGGCCGTGGGGGCCCCATGGACAGGGACGGACAGGCTCTGCTGTTTTTCCTGAGCGTTTGTTCTGTGACTCAGAGTGAGTCAGCACAGTGGCCCAGGTGGGGCCATGAGGGGCAGGTGGGGGGGCGGGGGGGGGGGGGCAGGATGCTTCAGACCTGGCCTCTTCCCCTGGCCTCCAGCCATGCCTCAGGGGCTGGGGATCCCAGCTTGGAGCAGCCTGAAGCCCTGCCTCCTCCCTCCCCCAACCCCCACGACTTCTGGATCCTCCCCCCACCTCCTTCCCCTCACCCCTACGACTTCCCAGCTGGTATCCTCAGGCCTCAGTGTTGTCATCTGTGAAATGGGGCCATGGACTGGAGCCATAGCACAGCGGGGAGGGCGTTTGCCTTGCCCGCGGCTGACCCAGGTTCGAGTCCCAGCATTCCATATGGTCCCCTGAGCACCTGAGTGCATGAGCCAGGAGTGACCCCTGTGCACCGCCAGGTGACCCAAAAAGAAAAACAAAAAAGCTCACACACACACACAAAAAAAAAAACAAAAATACCACAAACAGTGACCAAAGGCCTGTTTGTCCCAGCATCCCATAGGGTCCCCTGAGCACTGCCAGGGGTAATTCCTGAGCACAGAGCCAGGAGTAACCCCTGCGCATTGCTGGATGTGACCCAAAAAGCAAAAATAAATAAATTTTAAAAACAAATAAATAACGGGGCCATGGAGACTATGTCCATCACACGGCCCCCAGAAGTGACCGCACGGAAAACTCTTATCACTACACAGCAGCCCCAGACACAGAAGCTGTGAGCCTCGAGGGCCAGGGATGTGGCTCAGTGGGTAAGAGCACCCGCGAGGCCATGAGTCTGAGGCCTGCACTGCCTGCACCAGGCCCCCACAACAAGAAAAGAAAAAAATAGCAAGTGCTTAAGCAACTTATCCCCCCCACACCTGTCTCCCGGCCTCTGAGCCTCAGGGGAGTTCCCGCTCTGACACTCATCTGCTGTGTGGCCTCTGGGCAGTGGCTGCACCTCTCTGAGGTCCAAGCTGTCAGCGCTGAGGGCAGTGGCTGGGGCAGCAGCGAGCGCCCCAGTGGGACCACGACCACCAGCCCTCAGCCACGGAAGCAGCAAGACCACCTTTGCCTCTCTGCAGACCCCCGAGACCAGGCCCGGAGGGAACAGGCCCCCACCCCCACCAGCCTCGGGAGACCAACACGCCTTTCTATTTATTTATTTATTTGCTTTTTTTGGCTTGGGTTACTCCTGGCAGTACTCAGGGGACCCTCTGGGACGCCCGGAATTAACCCAGGCCGGCTACGTGCAAGGCAAACGCCCCACCCGCACGCTCGCTCTGCCTCAACATGCCTCCATGTATAAGTCCAGGGGTCAGAGGCCTTGAGCTGTCCCCACCCACAGCCCAGAGAGGGGCAGGGCGTGCTGAAGGTCGTTCTCTCTGGGGGGTTCGGATTGCCTTGATCGGGGGTCTCTCCAGGGGCCTTGCTCGTCTCTTCTCTCCTGAGCCAGACCCCAGAGGCCCCTCCCCAAACTCTTTCTGCCCAGGGCACCCCACAAAAGCTGGCCTGGGGAGGGGGGTGGGCTGAGGCGGGAGCCCAGCAGAGGGCTGTACGCGGAGCCCCAGTTCCAGGGTTTGGACGTTCGTCTCCAAACAGATGTTTCCCATAAATCACCCAGCACACGGTGGCCCCGGGCCTGAGTCTGATCCCAGCATGGATGTTTTCCAAGCCTCTCCAGGAGTGACCCCCGATCAGACCCGGGAGGAGCCCCCGAGTGCCAGCGGTCACGTGGCCCCCAACAAAACCGCAGGAGGGTGGGTTGCACGAGGGTCAGAGCCCCCCCCCCCCCCGCCACCCCTCAGTCTTACCTGGGGCTGCCCGGGAGCAGGACCTCTCTGTGCCTCTGCTCCCAACTGTGCCGTGGGGCTGGTCAGCTCTGCCGTCGGGGACGTCCGGGAGCTTGTCCCCCACTCCCCCCATCACCCTTTCTCCTCTGCTCTCCAGGCCAGCCGCAGGGGAACCCCTTGTGCGGCACCCCACTACTGGTGAACGGCTCTGGCCAACCCTCAGAGCTGGGCGGCACCAGGCGGGCAGGCAACGGGGCCCTGGGGGGCCCCAAGGCCCACCGGAAGCTGCAGACGCACCCATCTCTCGCCAGCCAGGGCAGCAGGAAGAGCAAGAGCAGTGCCAAGTCCGCCACCTCTCAGATCCCGCTCCAGGCCCAGGAAGGTGAGTCCGGCTGGCTGTTCGCTGCCTCACCCCGGGCGGCTGCTTCGCACACACCTGAGGGGGCCCCAGGACAGCGGCTGGACGCTGGTCTTGCCCATAGCTGGCGGGTTTGATCCCCCACACCACGTACGTTCCCCCTGAGCCCCAGCAGGGGCGACCCCTGAGCACAGAGCCAGGAATAAGCCCTGAGCACCACTGGGTGTGACCCTTCTCCCCCCCAAGAAAGAGCAACAACAAAAGAAATACAATCTCAGGGCCGGGAGACGCCTAGTCCGCTGAGCACTTAACGCAATTTGCATGCGGGGAACCTGGTTCAATCCCCAGCACCGCATGGTCCGGGGAGGTTGCAGTGGGAGTCAGCCCCAGGCACGGGTGTGTCGATGCTCCCGCCCTCCGTTCCCCCAGAAAGTGCCATCTCTGGCCCTCCCCAGCCAAGGCACGGGGGTCTGCGAGCCTCAGTCTAACCGGCCACCAGGGAGTCTAGTGGAGGCTCAAATGGGACCAGCCCAGGCCGGAGCACAGGCCAATCCATATACTCCCCGGTCCCAGGCCGGAGCACGTGTCAACCCGTACGCTCCCGGGTCCCCATCCAGTCCCCCAGCACTGCCAGGGATGATTCCTGAGCGCAGAGCCGGGAAGAAGTCCTGAGCACTGCTGTGGTCTGGGCCCCAAATAGAAAGAATCTGCCTTCCGTGCACGAGACATGATCCCCAGCACCACAAAAGAGAAAAAGAAAAAACATGTAAGAAAAATTTTGTGTTTGTTGTGGGACTGAGGATTCAGCTCAGCGTTCGGGCACTGGCCTTGCCTGTGTAGGCCCCGGGTGTCACCTCTGGCACCAGCAGAGAGAGCGGGTGGGAGGCAAGAACTTCCTGCTCTGTACCTGGCCCATTTGCTGCCGGGGGTCCAGTCCAGGGCCTCAGGGCGCCCCAGGAAGCTCTTCCAGGCCAGATCAACTGGCCATCACCACACGCTCTGCAGCTAGGCAGGGGGTCAAGGGCGCAGACAAGGCACCCCAAGAGGCAGGCGGCAGGGCCCAGGGAAGCATCTGGTGGGCTGAGCACACACCCTGCCATGGCCCACAAGCACCACCAGGAGTGACTCCTGAGCACTGTCAACCTCTGCCCCGCCCCCCCCCCCCAAAAAAACCATGGAAAGTGGGAAGGCTTTAGAGGGGTGATAGGTGGATGTCACGGGGCAGAGCAGGGCAGAGGTGGCTGTTGTGACTGTACTGTGAAGGCCCAAGGGACCAGTGGCTGGCGGGTGTGAGCAGGCAGGCGTGGGGGTGGGGGTGGGGGTGGGGAAGACTGTCTGGAGGTGCTGGGTGCCACAGAAGAGAGATTTCAGTAAGCAGGGACCTTGCCTGATATGCATTTGAGAGACTGCAGGGTCCAGCTCTGGAGGGACCCCAGTGCCTCCCTGCAGAAATGGGGTGAGGGAAATGCAGGCCCCTGTGGCGGGAGAGACCCCCACAGCCCCACAGCCTGTGCTCAGGGCCCACCTGGTCCAGGAAGAAGACAAGCAGGAGGGCTGGTGGCTCGCGCCGAGTGCCCAGGTGGGTCCAGGGACACCCTCACTCAGCACCCACTACGACAGGCTCCCTGTGGGTCATCAGGAAGCTGAGGAGCCCTGGGGGAGATGGAGGCAGCCACAAATTCAAGTCTTTTTGTTGGTTTGTTTGAGGGCCTGTTCTCGGGGCTTCCTACTTAGAGACCACCCTTGGGGGTGCTCAGGGATCCCCACCAGGCCCAGGTGTGGTGCCGGGGATCAAACCCAGGTTGGTCATGTGCAAAGTAAATGCCCTACCTGCTGTGCTCTCACTCCGGCCCCCTGCGGTAGTTTTCTTTTGGGGTCACACCCGGCAACGCTCAGGGGTTCCTCCTGGCTCCGCACTCAGGAGTCACTCCTGGTGGTGCCATCGAGATGCCGGGGACCGTGCAAGGCGAACACCCTCCCTTACACTATGACTCCGGCCTCAGCACTTCTGTTCGTTTAATTCCCCCTGCCTTTCCACCCGCCGTCCCCCACCGCTCTGCTCTCGCCCAAGGATGGGGGACGCACACCTGCCCGTGATGCTCCCAGGCTCGCCCGCTTAAGGGCTGGGGCCAGCCCACACCTGGCCTTGGAGCCCCAGACGGCACCCTCTCTATGGTGCCACCTGGCAGTTCCACCAGCAGGCCCTGGGCATCGCGCTCAGGTTGGGGGTGCCAGGCATTGGCTCATGGCCTCATACTTACCAGGAGAGAGGGAGGGAGGAAGGGAGGGAGGAGGAGGGGAGGAGGAAGGGAAGGAACCACGAAGAAACCACAGGCTGAGGTGGTGGTTTTGGGGGCTGGAGCAGATGCTTTATGTGGGGATCGCAGGGTCCAGCCCCGCCAACGGTGGTCCTAGAGGCATTCCACCGGACCCCTCAATCCCCATTGTCAGAGAGGCTTGCATGAGGGGCGGAGCCATAGCACAGCTGGGAGGACATTCGCCTTGCACCAGGCATACCCGGGTTCGATCCCGGGAGGTCCTTCCAAGGGGTCCCCCTAGCACCGCTAGGAGTAATTAATTCCTGAGTGCAGGGCCAGGAGGAACCCCTGAGCACCACCTGTGTGACCCCGAAAGCCAAAAAGTCAAACGAGCACAGAGGCTTGCATGAGCGCCCCCCCCCCCACCCCACACACACACAACCACCCCCCATGCCTGGTCCTGGGCCCGCCCCCACGCTCCCCTCCCCCGCCCAGACTGCTGCGTGCACTGCATCCTGTCCTGCCTGTTCTGCGAGTTCCTGACGCTGTGCAACATCGTGCTGGACTGCGCCACCTGCGGCTCCTGCAGCTCCGAGGACTCGTGCCTGTGCTGCTGCTGCGGCCAGGCCGAGTGCTCCGACTGTGAGCTGCCCTGCGACCTGGACTGCGGCATCCTGGACGCGTGCTGCGAGTCGGCCGACTGCCTGGAGATCTGCATGGAGTGCTGCGGGCTCTGCTTCTCCTCGTGACCGGCAGGGGGCGCTGCGCGGGGCTCGGCTCACTGTGAAAGCCCCCCGGCTGGGGCCCCCTCGCCCTCCCCCAGACTTCCCAGGGAGGGCGGCGGCAAAATGTGAATAGTCACCCCCTGTCCCTCCTTTCCGGGACTCCCGGGGGGTCCTGACCCACCCAGGGACCCCAGAGGGCAGGCTGGCATGGACGGGGCAGGGCGGAAAGGGCCCCTTGATGGTAAGACTGGAAGGGGCGAGGGAGGGCGTGGAGGAGGGTCCCTTTTATTTGTGGCTGTAAATAAAGAGACTTGTCCATTGCGGACTGTGTGTGCAAAATCACTTCAGCTCCCCAAAGCCAGTCTCCTTGGGACCAGCGCCATCATAATACAGCAGGCGCACAGCCCACCCAGCTTCCAGCTCCGGGTGGTCCCCGGAGCACCGCCAGGAGTAATTCCTAAGGGCAGAGGCAGGAGTAAGCCCTGAGCATCCCTGGGTGTGGCCCAGAAACCAAAACTAGAAGCAAGTCCTCTGGGACCCGATAAGAGCCCAGTGGGTAGGGCACTTCCTGGTTCACTGCCAACCTGGGTTTCCAGCCAGGGCAGATGGTCCCCCAAACCCCACCAGGAACGGTCCCTGGGTGCAGAGCCAGGAGTAAGCCCTGAGTACGGCCGACTGTGACCCCTGCCCAAAGAAAAAAGTATGTCCTGGGGGCCGGAGCAACAGGACAGCGGGTAGGGCGCTTGTCTTGCACATGCGTGACCAGTTTCCATCCTAGGCACCCTATAAGGACCCCTGAGCACCTCCAGGAGTGATTCCTGGGTGTAGAGCCAGGAGGAACCCTGAGCATTGCCAGGCGTGACCCAAAAACCCAGAAAAAAAAAGCAAGCACGTCCTGTCTCCTCTCCACAGACCCTCCCCCACCTCCCCCCCACACACAAAGGCTTGAGGGTTCTGCCTTCTGTCCTTCACCTTTTCTCATTTCTTACCCCAAAAGCTGCTCCCTGCCCCCCTCCCTCCCCACCCAGGGAGGGAGATGGTAGAGGGGGTGGGCAGATATTCATTGACAGCAGATGTGTAGCTCTGATGAAGGGCTCCGCCCGCCAACTGGGCTGCTCAGGGCCAGATGGCTCCAGGGCTTGGGGCACCCGGCCCGGGGGCCGAGCTTGGGGCCAGCAGGGGAGACCTGGCCCAGCCGCCTTTGTGGGCACCTGGCAGCTGGCCTGAGAGAGGAGCCTATCTGGAGGTGCAGAGGGGGGTGTCCTGGGGGCCTGGACCACGGGCGCGTGGCGGCTGAGCCCTGTCCTCCACCCTGACCTGGAGGAGGCAGGAGGGGTCGGGTGGGTGGGAGGGCATCTTGGGGCTGTGGTGGAGAGGACCTGGATGGGAGGGGGGGAGGGGAATGGAGGGGCACTGTGGGGGGCTTCTGGCAAGAGGAACGTCATGAGTGACGATCACCAGGCCCAGAGAGCTGTCTCCAGCCCTTATCTGCGCCCAAGAACCCCCAGCAGACGCCCCCACCCTCCTGGGCCCCAGCAGATGCCCCAACTACCCTGGACCCCAGCAGAATGCCCCAACCCCTTGGACCCTAGCAGATGCCCAACCCCTTGGACCGCAGCAGACGCCCAACCCCCCAGACCCCAGCAGACGCCCCAACCCCCATGGGCCTCAGCAGACACCCCCACCCCCCTGGACCCCAGCACTGTCCCTCCCAGACACCCCAACCCCTCTGTACCTCAGGACTCTTCCTCACAGATGCCCTACCCCCTGGATCCCAGCAGTCTCCCCCACCCCGCACCCCAGGCCCCCTGCCCTCACTGCACCCAGAGCAGCCCACCCCCCCCACCCCCCCCACCCCCCGGCTGCTGCCTCTCACCAGCTTCTTCCAGGCCCAGAGGCAGGTGTAGACAAACCAGAAGCTTCGGAGGCCCCAGGCCACCCACCAGAGAGAGCACCCCCGTGAGAGCAACCAGGAATCGGGCCTTCCTGTCTCCCCTGGGGCGACTTCGGGTGGGGGATGGGGGCAGGTGCCCAGTGGGGAGGAAGGGGCTCGGCTCTTCTTTCTCTCTTTCCCCTTTGGTGCTGAGGACGAGCCCCAGGCCTCCTGCGTGCGAGCCGAGAGCTGAACCGTCCGGCCCCCACTGGCACCGGCCTCCTCCTGCAGAGCTGAAATTGCAAACCCTGAGCTGGGCTTTGGTGGGAGAGCCGACTCTCAGCTGTGAGGACCACACACCTCCACACACCCCCACACCCTCACACGCACACCCCACACACACACATACACACGCTTTCACACACATCACACACTGCATGGACATACACATACCCACACACACACGTGTATATGCACAACTTCCCCCCATGCGTACACACCGGCACATACATAGCATAGATACAGAGCCACATACATACCCACCTGCACACAAGCATGCACACACACATACACACGCTCGCACACACATCACACAACGCATGCATATGCACACACATGCACACACACATGTATATATACACCTTCACACATCCACAAATATACACACACGGTCCACACACAATACATACATAGCCACATGCATACCCACCTGCACGCACACACATACACACGCTCGCACACACATCACACACTGCATGCACATACACACACGTGCACACACACATGCATATACACACCTTCACACACCTGTGTGCATACACACACGGCACACACACGTACATACATAGCCACATACACACCCACCTGCACACACACACATACACACGCTCGCACACACATCACACACTGCATGCACATACACACACCCGCACACACACGTGTATATGCACACCTTCCCCCATGCATACACACACGGCACACACACAATACATACATAGCCACATACATACCCACCTGCACACACACACACATACACACGCTCGCACACACATCACACACTGCATGCACATACACACACGTGCACACACACATGCATATACACACCTTCACACACCTGCGTGCATACACACACGGCACACACACGTACATACATAGCCACATACACACCCACCTGCACACCCACCTGCACACACACACACATACACACGCTCGCACACACATCACACACTGCATGCCCATACACACACCCGCACACACACGTGTATATGCACACCTTCCCCCATGCATACACACACGGCACACACACATAGCATACATACATAGCCACATACACACCCACCTGCACACACACACATACACACGCTCGCACACACATCACGTGCACACACACATGCATATACACACCTTCACACACCCGCATGTATATACACACGGCACACACACATACATACATAGCCACATACATACCCACCTTTGCACACACATGCACACACACGCGCGCGTGCATAGACACAGCTCCTCTGACCCTCGCGTGCACTCACAGGCCTCCCTTTACCACATTAAGGATTCCTGACCTCTGGGCCGAGGAGGAAGCCCCGCGGTCTGGCCGAGACCCCTGAGGCGGCGGCTCTGGCCCCCACATTAGCTTCTCCAGCTTGTGGGTCTTTGTCCCGCCTCGAATACCCGAAGTCTGAAAGTCTCACTGTGCTTGGACAAGCACCTGTTTGAATTTTTCCTTTCCTTCTTTTTTGCAAAAATGTCAGGCTCCTGTGTCCAAGATCCTATAGGATCTTTAGTTTGTTTGTTTGAGCCCCCAGCGATGCTTAGGGGTTGCCCCTGGCTCAGTGCTCAGGGGTCAGTCCTGGCAGGTTCGGGGACCCTCTGCATGCAAGGCCAGCCCCCTGCCCGCTGTCCGGTGTCCAGCACCCTGCAGCCACCGTACCCCACGCCCAAAGCCAGACACGGCACCCCGTGGTGACCGTCCCCAGCTGGCCCTGCGTGCCCTCTTGTTTGTTTGGCAGAGCAGGGTCAGTGCCAGGTGTCACAGCCCCCTCCCGCCTGGCGCCCTGTGCAGGGGAAGAGGCGGGGCTTTCAGAGGAGGCGGGCCCTGCGAGGGGGCTGGCCCGTGTCCCCAGGGTGGCGGGGATGGAGGTTCACAGGCCACAACGGCAGCGACCCTCCTCTAGCCCTTTGTCCCCAGCTGGGATGACGGGACCGCGGCTTCCGGCCAGACCCTGCGCAGCCCATCTCCAGCGGGTGGGCTCCGAGGCGCCCAGCAGCCCGAGGCCTGGCCCAGGTGGGCAGGAAGGCCCCCTCCCCGGCCTCTCCCGCAGTGGGGGCAGCGGGGCCTCCGCAGGAAGAGGAGACTCTGCAATCCAAATAGCCGTTTCCTGCTGCAGGCCTGGCTGAAACCAGAGAAGGGGCCAGGCAGGGGGACAGCCGGCCAGGCCAGCTCCCTGCACACGCTCACTGCCCGTACCGTCACCTATGTGCGGGGACACACACACGCACACACACACACTCACACACACACATGCTCACTCTCCCCCAAACTGTCACCTACACACACACACACACACACTCACACACACACTCACACACACATATTCTCACTCTACCCGTACTAAGACCTAAACACACACACACGTTCACTCTGCCCATACTGTTACCTACACACACAGACACACACAAACACTCTCCCCATGTCGACACACACACACACACACATACATGCTTACTCTCCCCCAAACTGTCACCTACACACACACACACACACACTTGCTCACTCCCACCATACTGCCACCTACACACCCAGACACACATTCACTCTCCCCATACTGCAACCTACACACACACACATGCTTACTCTCTCCCAAACTGTCACCCACACACACACACTCACACACACACTCACACTCACACACACACTCACACACACACACACACATGCTCACTCTGCCCGTACTAAGACCTAAACACACACACACGTTCACTCTGCCCATACTGTTACCTACACACAGACACACACAAACACTCTCCCCATATCGACACCCACATACACACACGCTCACTCCCCCTGTACTGCCACCTACGCACCCAGACACACATATTCACTCTCCCCATACTGCAACCTACACACACACACGTACACACACACACACATGCTTACTCTGCCCCAAACTGTCACTTACACACACACACACGCACACAC